TCAGAAAGGAGTACAGGTTCACATTCCAGGATCAACTGAGAGATGAACTGGTACTATGCAAAGCAAAGATATTTCTGTACCCATGTACTATGAACATCTGTTTATAATATCGATAATGATAAGGTAGTCATTCTTCTGTACCATATAAAAACATCACTACTATTAGCTGATCAGGCTTTTATCGCTACCTTATGTTTGTTTGTTTGGTTTTTTTTTTTTTTAAAAAGTTACTGAAAAGAATGACTGAGGTACTTATTCAAACATTAATCACTTCTAATCAAAAAATAGAAGAGTATCAATTCCTACCCAAAACAGACTACAGGATTAGGTTTAAAATCTATTATCCAAGTTAGAGCAAGATATGATCCCACATAATCTCAAAACTAAGGTAGCTTTGCAAAAGATCACAATATTTGGGTTATGAATTCTGAGCTTGGGTTTCAAAAGGTCACGAACTTTTGTAGCTTTTATTCAGAGAAACTGATGTAGAAATTATTGCATAAAATTTGATGGCTTGCATTATGCAAGTGTTCAGGCTAAATAAACATACTGGTTTATTTTTCTGGGAGGTATGTGTGTCTGCTTAGGACTGTCACAGTAAGAACAGCATCATTTGAACAACTTTCACAGCAGCTCTGGTTTAACAGACTGACTAGACCATCCAATAATTTAAGGTACTATTGAAGTGAAACATTTGTCAGAAGACAACTTACCATTCTGAAGCATTCAGCTTTAGTTGCTGTTTCTCTGTATTTACTGGCTTTTGTTTTCTTCTAAGACTAGTTGTACCCCAAGGAACACTAAAATCTTTATCCATCATTTTAATTAGTAAACATAGTAATTTACTTGCCCCAGGTATTCACTATAGACTTTGACGAGCTTTCAACGTGGTCAGCATGTAAGACTCCTACCATGTAATCTCAAGTTAAGAATAAAAAAGAAGTGTTCTAAACATTAAAGAGCCAAACCTTCACATAGCCTGTAAACTTGTACCACACTGGACTTTCTGATGCTGACACCCTCCAGCACATGGTGTACTGGAACTCTTAAGGCACCACTGTAAGTGTTCATGTCATCACTAATTTGAAAGTTCACATCCTTGCTTAACTCTATGCCTCAATCTTAACATCTGCTTTGAGGCACAAGAAGCATAATGGTTAGAAATGGCAGCTAAAATAATCTTTTACAAACCAATGACAAGCAGCAGCATAATGAAATGGTCTGATACATAATTATCTGCTAGTAATGAATCAGATTGTTCCTATAGTCTGCATTCTTATTCTTGGAGTTTAGACAAGGTAAATAACATTAGAAACAAAGTTGCATGAGGGATATGTATGTTTTATGGCCATTAGTGACAACTGAAATACTCTTCACCATTACCTACTGTTACTGATGTTTACTTCTCTACAGAACAAATGCTGAATAATGTGGTACTTCTCATTAGGAGCTCGATTCGCTCTTCATATTCTTCCAATTCTGATCCATTCTGCAAGAACTCAGTAGCATCTCTCTGAGTAGGTCATCTTGAACAAACTTACAATTTTTAAAAAATTTAAACCAGATTATTTTGCAAAGATTTAGACCCTCTGAGATATTGAAATGCTGAAATACTGCCTGTTCAGGTTTTCCATTTTATCAGCTGAAGCTGCAATAAGCAGATGTCAGTGTCAGTTAGCACCTTCCCAGTACTTGAGAGGCACGTTTACATCCTCTAAGTTTATAATTTCAAACACTTAGCAGTGGAGCTTTGATCTGTCTCAGTATATTTTTTTTGCAAAAAGGAGCTGAGTTTGCCTGAAAGTTGGGGAGCCTTTTGCAAACCTGCAGCAAGTTCCATAATTTGGAAATACATATTACTCAGCCAACCTGTGAAGTTCATCTTTGCTAGTTTGCACCAGCACCCTTAACCAAATTTACAGAAGATAGCCTTTTTCAGATTTACGTAACTCAAGCTAGCTTACCTGTCCAGCAGTATTTCTTCACTGATGACACGACAATAGTAATATAAATTCAAATTCCTTGCTCACTTGCAGGATCTTGCTTACAATCTTAATAGTTACTGCCCTTTGAGTCCAGAATTGATACAGAATCAAAAGGGGAATTAAGCTGAAAGGGAAGGCTAGCAGTCACCACCGATTCCCTATAATAGCAAATATACGTCTTTTAAGTTTCATAAGAAATGTATTGACATTGGCTACTGCAGCAAAGAAACACACGTCCTATTGATGAATATGTTGTATAAAATCCTCTGACTTGGAAGGATACGCCAGCCAAACATGAAACTACCCAACAGCTTCTCATGCAAATTCTAGCAAACTTGCAGAGCAAGTGGAACCAGAAATTTATGTATCTGGAAATGGATTATTTCTCAAGCAAATATTATCTGATCATGCATCAGAAAGTTCAGACAGTAGCTTCTGAGAGCTTTCTAACAAAGATGTGCCAAAGTCCCGAAAGGATTTAAGATTTTTTAGCAACCTCCATTTAGGGGAATCTGATCAGAAGATCAGTAGAAATCTAAGTGATATTTCCAAGTATAGTAAGGATTACTCCCTAAGCACTTTTGAAACAGCATTTTCTGGGAAGTCCAGTACCATTAGAAAGGATGACATTCATAATGCTTCGAGAAGCGAGCATCAGTTTCACTGTGCCAATACAAACAAAGTAGTTACTTTTAAAAAGATGGCTGTAATAATTCCACAATTCTAAGATATCCCATGGAGTTGAATTTTGAAATCAATTTGTGCACTGCAAGCCACTCCTCAAAAAAGGACAGTACGGGTGTGGAAAACACCAGCCATCAGCAGAGACTCCTAAGAAGACCACCACCTAAACATAATCATCTGAACTTTAACATAAGAGAAACAGATTTATTATTGGAAGGGATTCCACTGCATACCAGCTCATTATTGTCTTGCTTTAGTTAACACAGCTATATTCTTACTTTGACACTCTACACACAGGATTTCTTAGAGACCAAGAAACAAATCAGTAAGTGAATAATCAGATGTCACGAACTGTAAGTACAAAAATTAACTCGGTGCTGCTCAATGCTGTGAGAAATGCTGTATTAAATCTTCTAAAATAAACAAGGGAACTAATTTGTCCAAGATTAATTTCAGAAAATAGTCATATACTTGTAAAATTGTCACTATTTCTTATTTGCAATTTTTTAACCTTCAACTGAGTAAATTACTCAAATGTAAAATGCAGAAAGCTTTTACAAAAGACCAGTTAGGTAACAGTTCTTATTCAGAGGTGTAGTAAATTAAGCCAGACTCATTTTAACATTATTGCTGAAAGAAATTGTATCAAATTTGCTATTTTCAAATGCGCAATAGTAAAACCAAGATGGGAAAAGTCCTATTTATAGTTTCAGGTACATTCTGTAAGATCTGCAATGGTTTGCTGATAGTGCACAAAAGAGAAGCGAAGTCTCCAAACAGTATATAGGAACTGCCCACTTAGCCATTTTCAATCATCTACAAATGGCCAAGCCAGAGAACTCCTGAGTCTAACAATTAATTCCTAAATGGTAATATAATAAATAAATTTAAATTTTAGTAATTTTAGTTTTCTTTAAGGTCTAGGTTCCCAATAAGTGTAATGAAGATTTAAACCTCAATACCTGCAAAAAATGTAAATATAAAGCCCAACTGAATGAGAAATGCTTTTCTTTCAACCCAGTTGCCAGCTGTTGATTAAACAGAACAAAGAGAGGTGCAATAAGAACCTCCCACTTTTGAAGTTTTATTCTGAGAATCTAAGAAAAATGGGAACATTTTGTTGAAGCTTATTCAGATTCATGACTTTACTGTTTCCAATTATCTTTCCTCATGTTTTAATAGAAACCAAAATGTGATAGCATGTCTAACAACTTATTTAGAACAAACAAAAGAGTATCATCTACTCATACATACTTTAACTCTTATTTAAATAAGTATAGTTTGTGTTTTCTATGATGACATAGAACAAGTTGAACTTCAGTCAAGTTTGATGTATTTGCATGTACAGATCAGCTGATGACCCAGATATCTAATTTTTTCATGGAAGTGAAATATGACAGGAAATGTTCTCTTTTGTTGAATTGGAAATAAAATTTCTTTAGCTTCCTGTAGAGCGAAAATTCACTCCATCTATTATAAAGTATCTAATGGATTTGCAATGGTTAAAAAAATAAAACAACTTCTCAGGAAGGTTGAAGATAAAGAAGTTATTCTGTGAGAGTAAGAAGACAACCAGTAGATCACTAGAAGACTGGAACTTTTCAGAGCATTAAAGGAGTGATCACAGAACACATGCAAGTGCCCCCCATGGTAGGAAAACCTGGGTCATGTGCTTGTCTGCAGGCTTGAAGGGTTTCTGAACAATGGTGAAAATACGGAAATCTGGCTTTTGTGAAGCTTAGAAAAGAAAAAGCCTTGACTAATATGAGTGTTAGATACAATTAAGAATAGGACATTACACCCTGGAGTTTAGTTTAAGCTCTTCTATGTCACAATATTGTCTTGCTCTTCTACCTGGATTTAAGTACTTTATTTGTAGCTGGAATTGATGCCTCTGTCTTATGCACTGTGCAGACATACAGAAATAATCTTTTATTTTTTATCAGAGCCACAGAAAGTCTCTAAAGGAAAGAAGGGAGAAGAGGTTAGACATAAGAACAAAACCTGAAATAATATTCTTCTCTCGGTACCCCTCTCCAACTGCAACAAAATCAATTTACACAAGGAATAATCTTAGCTGCACCAACCAAGAAAGAGGAATCAAATTTAATGTGGATATGGAAGTATTTATTCAGTTGAAATGGGACAGAGAATGTGACTGAATTAGAACTAGTAAATTAAGTATATTAACTTTCTTTTGTCACTGGAATTATGGTGATGACAGAAATACACATTTTTAGTGATATTTAGCAAAAAAGTGTTAAGTGAGAGAGGTATATTCCTAAAAAATGTATGACTTCAAAGACTTTCAAATAAAAGTTAAGGCACTGATGACTTTTTAAAACTTTTATTATATTGCATAAGCTATAACATTTTACAAATCTTAGTTACATTTTCAGCAACAGATACACTGATACTGTAGTAAATACAGAGATGAAAAGACACCTCTGACAAAATATAAAAAGGTAGAAATACTTAAACCCAGGATACTGAATATCAAGAATGTTTTACATGAGCAATAGCCATACTAGAGTGTTTGTCAAATTGACTGCCAAGGTAATGAAGTGTTTGTTGAATATAAGGCTCCAACATGCAAGGTGGTGAGCAGTCAGTGCCATCAGTTCACCTACCCTTCAGCATCTCAGAGCCAGGCTTTGTATGAACTCCGAGCTCTAAAGAGCACTAAAAAGTGCCTTTCTACACAATAAGATGTTGTAAAAATATTACTGTTCTAACATGGACTTAAGTGCAACAAGTGCTTCAAAGGAACTGAATTGGTTAACCGAGGAATAAAACACCAGTACATTTTGGGGAGAGGGAATATAGGAATGTTCAATAAATCTTAAACGGACTGAAAAAAAATCATTTGGTAAAACAGTTTTGAGGCCAATAGTGCTAATACCAAAAATAATGACACTGTTTTCCCGTCAGTCTTAAAAAAAAAAATCAGAAGTAATTTTTTTTTGGTAATCAGAACATACTGAATACTGTTTTTAAAAGAAAATGAAGCTCAGAATAAAGTAATTTCAACCACCTTTCCTATAAATTCTTTAACACAAAGGTAGCTGCCTACTGTTAGAAGTGTGGCACAAATTAGTACAAACTGCTACAAAAGAATGCTCATTTTTAACTCTCTAGGCATAGTACTGTTTTACGTAATTCCACTGAATTAAAAAAAAAATTAAAAAGCAGAAGCTTGTGTTATGTAAATAATCCAGGTTCAGTTCCAAATTGAGATAAAAATTTGTTCTAGAAAATAGGAATTAAGAACCTATCTCCATACACTTTCTGCTTCTACTGGCAAGAAAGGTTAGCAGCTGAAAAAAGGATTTTTATCATTACAATAGTTTTTATATATAAACATATATTAAATTCATTTTTGAAGTTAAAGTCCCAGTCAGTTTCATACCTGTAAATCCAGTGACTTCAAGACGCTTACTCTTGATTTATTAAGTTGAATCAGATCCCATATGTGCATTTTAAAAAGATACTACTGTTCAGATTGCTAAAGATATATTTTTTTAATTTCTTTTCAAACATAAAATACAAAAAAACAGGGTTTACAACAATTACCATCATCATCAACATGCAGGAGTCTGTATTCCAAAATAAAAAACACTAGATCTGCCTTTTAAAATATTATAAAAACTACATAATTTTAACTATGGATTGAGGGAGTTTTTGGCTAACAGAAAGAAAAAAAAACATAATGTGCTTTTCAGATAGTCAGGTGTCCCACTGATAAAATAAGTCTGATGAAAGAGAAAGGCACTTCAGCAGGCTAGTTTATCTTCAGATTTTGCTAATATGTAGTACTAGACAACGGACGTACTGTACTGCCTTCTAATTCACACAGTGTTATATCTGTAATATTGTTAACCGGTTTCACTTTTTAACTAATGAGAGGAATTTAGACTGGTGCCCATTCTTTTCATCCTCTTTGGTACAAATTACTACATTAAAAAAAAAAAAGCAGACAACTAACCCTGCATTATTTTTTGTGCATTATCTCTAGCTCTATATTGGTAAATAATGTCTCTAATTATCAAATTGGTTCTGCTTTCAAGTTTGTAAGATACCAGAGTTCATTTATTTTCTGACACTACTATGAAGATTTTTCCTGTTAATCAAATGGAATTTTTAAGTGATTTTTTTTTTTTTTTGGTAATATTTCTGTAATATGTGGCATTTGGTAACAATTTGAAAATTACTGTCAATTATCTTATTCTAGGTAACACACCCAGATAAATGTGCATATAGCTGCATACTATTTAGCCTGATCACTTCCCCTAATTTACGATACATCAAAATACTGACCTAAGCCACATGATTTAATCTGCAGAATCAAGCCTTGGCGAACTCCATCAACCACCTTATCAAAAAGAGGCCAAGACCTAGAACTGGTGTAACCTTCTGAAAGATTAATCTCAACATCATGTATTGAAACCATGGTGGAGAAACTGTCCTGAAATTTTGTGCTGGGTTTGAGTGGTGGGGTTTTTGGTGGCAGGGGAGGGGGCTCTAGGGGTGGCCCCCTGTGAGAAGCTTCTCAAAGCTCCCTCAGCTCCAGGTGAGCTCCACCTCTGCACCAAAACTGAGCCAATCAGCTGCACCTCTGCAATAACGTATTTAAGGAGGGGAACATGAGAGGGGGCTGGGACTTGTGAGGAGGGTAAATGCAGAAGTCAGCTGAAGGAAAGAGAAGGACGTGGGAGAGGTGCAATGGAGCAAAGACCCCCGTATCCCATGGGGAGACGGCAGGGTGACTCACCCTGCCACACATGAAGGTCCAGCGCGGAGTAGAGGTCGATCTGAAGCCTGGTAAGAAAGCCACTCCAGGACAGGCATCTGCACTTAAAGGAGGCTGGGACTCTGAGGGGAGAAGTAACCCCCGCGGTTGTAGTTCGGCACTGGGAGGGCTGCAACACGCGGGGGTGACCCACGCCAGAGCAGCACAGGGACTCATGCCAGAGGTGGTGTGTGGGAGGCTGTCTGCAGTGAGAGGGGAACCCTGTGGAGCAGGAGAAAAATGGGTGGCATTCACCCCACCTCCTGAGAAGGAAGGAGCGGTGAGCTGACTGTAACCCCCTGCCCTCTGCGCCGCTGGGGACGGGGTGAATGAACGGCTGTGTGGTGCTCAGTTGCCCTCGGGGCTCAAACCACGACACCTGTCTTCAACTCTTACCCGCTTTTCCAACTTTCCTCTATTCCTTTCCTCTCTCCCCCACTTTGTGGGGAAAACCTTACCGCTACTTCTGGGTGGGAGCATTATTTCTGGGGCCAATAAGTGTTTTTTTTAGCACTCGACCAGTGTTGGTTGGACTTTATTCCTGCAGGATCCTTAAAAACCATTCTCAGAGGGGACGGTGGCTGGTGTGGCTGAGCCTTAAAACATAACGGTATATGGTCTACTGCTTGTTGCAAAGGTTGCAAGGCTTACTGACCAAGTTTCATGCCAACAACTGTTGTGAACAAATAAAAGCCGAGTTTTGTGAATTGAAGAATCCGTGGAGTCTTTTCACCTTTATCCTGGCCTGGAAATCAGTGAATCTGAGTCGCTGTCCTGAGAAATTGGGATGGTAAATCTACCTCAACCCTAGTGGCACAGGTATGTCAATTGCAAGGAAAAACAATCACAAATGTTTTTCTTTCCAGGAAAACTGCTGTTCCCGACTCCAGTGGGCAGTTTACCACAATGGAAGGGCTAATCTTATTCCTGATCCTATGGAAAGAAAGAACCGAGTAGAGAATCCTATGACCAGTACTTCAGGGTACCTGCCTCCAGCCAGGTGGAAGAGAGGGACAACTGGGTCTACTGGACTGTGTGGATCCCATGGCCTGGCATGTCAGACCCACAGGAGTACAAGGCCCGAGTAGGCACCAGTGCAGCGTACTCAAATGCCATCGAGCTATAAAGGGGCAGAACCCATCTGTATTTCTGGAGGGGGATCCCGACAGGTAACTGCATTGGAGGCTGAAGTGAGCCTAACTGGGAATGAGTGGCCTAAACACCTGCTTATGTGCCTGGCCCAGAGGCCCCGTGCATCCTTGCCACACCCTACCTCAGGAGAGGGTACTTCAAGGACCCGAAGGGGTACCAGTGGGCCTTTGGTATAGCTGCCTTGGAGACAGAGGAAGTTAAACAGCTGTCCAGCTTGCCTGGTCTCTTGGAGAACCCCTCTGTTGCGGGGTTGCTGAGGGTTGAAGAACAACAGGTGCCAATTGCCACCACAACTGTGCACCGGCAGCAATATCGCACCAAGACTCCCCAATTCCCATCCCTTAGCCGATTCGCTGACTAGAGAGCCAAGGAGTGATCAGTAAAACTGTCCTTGTTTCACCTGGGATAGAGCTACTTATTCTTCTCAGTAGCTAGAATAGTGCTGTGTCAGGGGAGACGAAAGGGAAAAGTAGAGTTAAGGTTTCTTTTGGTAGTTGGAAGTATTGTGTTTTGATCATGGCACGAGGTTGTTATGAGAAAAATGCTGATAAGCACACTGAGGTTTTCGGCTGCTGATGGGAAAGAAGGAAGCAAGAAGACGGCATGATTAGCATGTAAACACCTGGTGTTGTTAAGCTGGTAGAAAAGTACTGTAACTTTCAAAAGATATATAAGCAGTCTGTGTGCTGATACTGAGACACTTTATTTCAGCATCACCCTTGATCTGAGTCTGTGCCTCAGTCACCACAGTGCTGTGCTTTGGATTCAGTATGGGATTTAGTATGAGAAGAATGTTTATAATACACTGATGTTTTTGGTAGTTGCTAAGAAATCAAGGACTATTCAACTTCCAATGTCCTGCTAGCGTGCAAGTGCACAAGAAGCTGAGGAGCACAGCCAGACCGACGGACCCAACCTGGCCAATGAAATATTTCATATCATATAAGGTCATGCTCCCTATATAGCTGAGGATGGGCTGGGAAGCTTGCTCTCTCACTTCCAGGCTTGCAGTTTCAGGATTCTCTCTTCTCTGGGATCACTAGCCAGAAACAGTCAGCAGGTGGTGAGTGATCACATTGTCCATTACTATTATCATTATTTTAATAATTAAATTGTCTTTATCCCAACTTAAGAGTCTCCTTTTACCCCTCCAATTCTTTCCCCTCTTTCCCAGACTGGGGAGGATAAGTGAGCGGCTGTGAGGTGTCTGGCTGCCAACCAGATTTAAACCATGACACTCGCTCACTAACAGCCCCAGGGGGCCAATGTGAAAGTCTAATAGAGAGTGGAGACTACCAATAGACTATCGTGGCCTGAGTGCTGCCACGTGGGACAGGCTAGAGCTTCAATACAAACTGGAGTCAAAGGCAGCCAAGTGGTAGGCCACAACTGCTATCTCCAGCGCATTTTTCTCAATCCCTTTGGCAGCAGAGTGCAAGCCACAGTTTGCTTGTGGAATGTAAGCCAATCAGTCTTTGGCATATTCTAAAGAAACCAATTAGTTTGTAACAGGTCATCTAGGAACTAGTATAAAAGTATGTGAAGAATCATAATAAGACTGACATTCTGCTTGCATCAAGCTGTGTCCTGTCTCTCAATCGCGGCAGATGTGGACTGCACTGAAACAGGGTGAAGCTCTGGACCACCTGCAGTACACTGATGATGTCGTCGTATGGGGTAACACAGCAGAAGAGGTTTTTGAGAAAGGGAAGAAAATAGTTCAAATAGTTCTGGAAGCTGATTTTGTCATAAAATGAAGTAAAGTCAAGGGACCTGCACAGGAGATCCAAGTTTTAGGAATAAAATGTCAAGATAGACATTGCCAAATCCCAATGGATGGGATCAACAAAACAGTAGCTATATATCTCTACCAGCTAATAAAAAGGAAACACAAGCTTCTGTAGGTGTTGTGGGTTTTTGGAGAATGCACATTCCAAATTACAGTCAGATTGTAAGCCCTCTCTATCAAGTGACCTGGAAGAAGAATGATTTCAAATGGGGCCGTGAGCAAGGGCAAGCCTTTGAATAAATCAAACAGGAGGCAGTCTACTCAGTAGCCCTTGGGCCAGCCCAGGCAGGGCAAGATGTAAAAAATGTGTTCCACATCACAGCTTGGAAGAATGGTCCTACCTGGAGTCTCTGGCAGAAGCATCAGGGGATACAGAGGATCTGAGACCTGCTGTACTCCAACGGAAACACTGGCAGCTTATGAAGGTGTTTGAGCTGCTTCGCAAGTGGTTGGTACTGGGACACAGCTCCTCCTGGCACTGTGGCTCCTGGTGCTGGGCTTGACGTTCAAAGGGAGGGGTCCCCTCCACACACCATGCAACTGATGCTACAAGGAATAAGTGGGTCGCACTGATCACACGAGCTTGAACAGGAAAGCCCAGTCACCCAGGAATCTTGGGAGTGATCACAGATTGGCCAAAATAAAGATTTTGGAATGTCAACATAGGAAGAGGTGGTGTGTGCTGAAGAGGCCCCACTGTATAATAAATTACCAAAAAATGAGAAGCAACATGCCTTGTCCACTGATGGGTTCCATCATGTTGTGGGAAAGCATCAGAGATGGAAGGCAGCTGTGTGGAGTCTTATGGGACAAGTCACAGAAACTGCTGACAGGGGAAGGTGAATCGAGTCAGTGTGCAGCAGTGAGAGCCATCCAGCTGGCTTTAGGTATTGCTGAATGAGAAAAATGGCCAATACTTGATCTGTACACAGACTCATGGATGGTGGTAAATGCCCTGTGGGAGTGGTTGCCGCCATGGAAACAGAGCAACTGGCAGTGCAGATGCAAACCCATTTGGGCTGCTGCATTGTGGCATGATATTGCTGCCCAGCTAGAGAACCTGGCTGTCAAAGCACGTCATGGAGATGCCCCTGTACCCAAGAGCAGGACCACTGAAGAACATCAAAACAATCCCCCAGGTGGATCAGGCTCCCAAGACTGAAGTGGCTGAGGTGGATCTGGACTGGCAATGTAAGAGTGAATTATTTATAGCTTGGTGAGCCCATCACACCTCAGGCCATCAAGGAACACATGCAACATAGAGATGGGCTCGTGATTGAAGGGTTAACTGGACGATGGACACTATTACACAGGGTATCCATCACTGTGAAACACATGCTGAAATTAAGCACCCACTTCAAGAATTGCTTTTGCTCAAGGACCTGGGTGCACTTGGTGGGCGATGCAGGATGATGGGGAAATCTGATGTGTGCCTCAAGGGGATTTGACTTTGGGTGAGAATAGCCAGTGATTTAAATTCTAGTATGTTAACTGTTACACAACACTGTATCATCACTTCTATGGTGGCTGTATGCTTTATCAAGGGTATTACAGTAAAAATCACCCGGATCAATGGAGAGTGAACTTGGACGAGACTCAGCGAAGTGCAGCAGTGAGAGAAGCAGACAAGCACAGCAGTAATTGAATGAGAATGGGGTTCAGCATGCAACAATCCAACACCACACACCATCCTTCCTGCCCTGAAAGCCTGTTACGACAGATGGAGGCCAAAGTCATAGACTGAATGAACTTTGCAGACACTTTACAGGGATGGCCCATAGACTAACAGAATGATACTTGTGCGTATGTATCAAAAGACAAGAAAGGTGGTAGATATCAGTTGGGATGTACTGGAAAGCGTGGAAGGCAGGCATGACATAAATGGTATAGAAAGAGAGGTGGATATCGTCCTGGTTAATTTTCGTCCCAGTATCTGCTACAGTGCTGTGTTTTGGATTTAGTATGAGAATCATGTTGATAACACACCTATGTTTTAGCATTGCTAAGCAGTGCTTATCCTAAGTCAAGGATTTTTCAGTTTCCTGTGCTCTGCCAAGTGCATAAGAAGCTAGGAGGGAGCACGGCCAGGACAGCTGGCCTGAACTAGCCCAAGGGCTATTCCATACTATAGCACGTCATGCCCAGTATAGAAAGTGGGAAGGGGGGAGCTGGCCAGGGGTGAGGGGCACTGATCACTGCTCAGGGAGTGCCTGGGCATCTGTCAGTAGGGGGTAAACAACTGCACTGTGCATCACTTACCTGTCTTCCATTTTATTCCTTTCTCTTTTCATTAAAATAGAATAAATTGTAATGAAATTATATTTCATCTCAATTATTAAACTGCTCTTATCTCAGCTCCCAAGTTTTACTTCCCACCCCCAACCACTCAATTCTCCCCGTCCCACCGAGGACAGGGGGAGAAATGAGGAAGCAGCTGTGTGGTGTTCAGTTGCTGGCTGGTGTTAAACCATGACAGCACACCTCTTAAACTTATTTTGCACTTTCATACTTCTGAACTCAGCAGGAACATCATTTTTCATTCATGAAGCAAGTGCACACCAGAAGAATTTGAACTGGTGTATAGCTAGTACCATTCTGGTTACCTTGAATATTCTTCTAGAAACAAGGCCAGACAACTGACACTCCCAACACAACAGATATTTCACAATAATGTTTCCTGAGTAAATGTTCCCAGAAGCCCAGCTGCATAGGGCATTTCCCAGCTTGAGGGTACTACTGGGCAGACAATCAAGTGCATCTCACCCCACGATTTGGATACAGGCATTGTATGTTTGGGTCTTGGTACAGAAGCCTAACCAAGCTCTAACAGAAATATTTATAAAGCTTTTTTAGGATGATTTATAATCAAACTGCCCAAGCCAAAATGCTAGAACTTATTTCATCAAGGAAACAGCTTAAAAGCCACAGGAAGACGTTTGATACACTGTATGAAGCACATTCAGGGATGCATCTACTTTTCTGTTAGCCAAAGTTGAAACTATCACTTTGACAAGATGAACATTAAAAATAAAGAATATTCTGATGGCCTTTCCCTTCCTCTATACATATCTTAGTTACATTTCATGCATTCATGACTTTTGGTAAATTTAACTCTAAGATGAGTCATAAGTAGTATTTATATTGCATTATAGACCAAATTTTGCCATCTGCTCTCTCATGCTCATAAAAGCCCCCAACTTTTAAAGCCTGTTTAACCCCTCTGCAATGCACAACCTAGACAAAAGCAGCTCAGGCTGGCAAAACATAGGCACATAAACCTCTGATGATCTTCCATTCTTTTTAAACATAAAATAAAAAGCAACAGTGTTGGACTTACCTGCTGAAGGGAACTATTTCAAAGGCATAATTTGTCTAAACTTGCATACTCTTTCATTATGGGCCAAACTCTCATTTATAAATATTCAGGGATTCAAGACTATGTTGTGGAGCCCAACTGGTCCAACGGCATGCAGAAGAGAAGATTTTAACTGACAACAAAGCCAAAAAACAAGACACTAGGATCAGCAGTAGCAGCAGCTGAATGCTACCAGAACCAGTCCTTTTCTGCTGGATGTGGACACTTCATAGCAGACATCAGTCTTCAACGTTCACAGTTTGTAAGAAAGCAGATTAACACAAAGGAGAGGGGCAACGTCTTAAGACAGTGGGGACCATGAACTGCAGTGGCCACAGAGCTTGTACACATCCCCCTTCTGCCACTGCATTATGAAATGGCAACCTTTTGCACACAGATGGGCACACAGGGAGGGCAGAAATGCTATAGAGCTCCGCTGATAAATCCAACAGACCTCACTGCTGGTGTCGTGGGACTAACTGATGAAACATTTCACATTATACAAAGAAGTAGTAACAGATCCCTAGAAAAGTTCACATATAAAATACTGTACAGATGGTCACATTGATTGGGAACAAGGCTGAGGAGTGGCTTTAACTAGTCTACCAATGCATTAGGAACAAGTATGAAAAAATTAAAACTTGTGCCTACATTTCTCACTGTGCATTCCCAGAGATGCGTCCAAGAACGGCAGGCTAAGTAAAATGTGGACCTTCCCTATACTGCCAGCAAAATCAGGAACTGGAAAATTTTAATAGTAGCACTTCCCCGTTTTCAATTCACACCGAATATCAATTGCCTAATTGAAGTTTAGTAACTCAATCTGTGTATTAAAAAACTGTAACTTTTCTTGATACTAGAAAACAACATTTCCCTTGTAAACCCAACACTGCAGAATTACAGAAGCAGCCAAGAGGTCAATAACCAGCAGGGAGAGCAACAACACAAAGCACGCTGTGTTTTAATTTATAGGAATAAGTGGCCTCTCCTCTCTTTTCTTCCAGATATTGGTTTTGCTATCTCTTTTTGTGATAGAAGGTCTATCCCTTCTTTTAGCAGAAGCGATACCAGATTCATGACTTCCTGATACCGTTTTTCTTCTTAGACCTTCTTCATCTTGCTGTTCTATGACTGGCCCATTCCCTCCATCCAGAAGGTGCCTCATAGCCTGGTCCTCTGGAGTGCAAGCAGTGGTCCCACTTTCACTGCTACTCAGATCCAGATCTTCCAAGTAAAGGATCTTAGAATGCGGCATATTTTTTATGAAAGTTTTCTCTCTCTCCAGTTTCCTACTAGGATGATGCTCATTCATGTCCACACCAGAATCCAGACTGGTATCGTTACTCTCTGTTTTTCTACCCTTTTTCAGATCTATGAAAGAATGCCTCACCTGCGCAATCGGCTTTCCATCCAGGGACACAAACCATGCTCGAGGATGTGGAGATGGTTTTCCTTTAGAGAGTTCCAGTAACGTTTGTTCTGAAATACCTTGAAGCTCAGATGAAAACGGAGTCATTACAACTGCTTCATTCAGTGTCCCAGGAACAGAGACAGATTCCAGTAAGCTGTTAGTGTACCGGCCCCAGTTTGACGTTTGAGAAGGTAAGCCCTCTTCACTAGCTAATGTATTGTTTTCACCTCTGCAGGCAGAAGGCTGTGGATGAGAGTGCACTGGCATTTTTGGTAACGTCTGCATGTAACCGTCGCGATTCATGGGTTCCATCATGGGGCTATATACCAACTGCCCTTTTCTTGGCAAAGTTGCTGATTTAGCAGGATGCAATTGTTCTGGGGAGTGGAAAAGGTCAGAGGTTTGAAGAATAGCAATAGGTTGATTGTAAATATGCATTAGCTGTTCTGGGATATGGGTAAGCCCATACATGTCCTCTTTCAGTGACAGGTATCTGTTTTGGTCTGGAATGTCCCTGGGAGCCTGGGAAACAGCACTGTTGCTCTGCTTCAGCTGCTGTAAATGTCGAACTCCAGCATTAGGCTCCAATGAATGGGCTGCATTTCTTAACTGACCAGTCTGACAGGAAGACTGATAAGAAGCATCCTCTGTGTAGATTTTAAAATTGTCTTGTGATTTTCCATCTTCTGTGTCTATGGACATCCTTCTTTGAGGGCTGTAGGAAGAAATCTTCGGTGTATATAACTGTGACTTATCTTCCAACTTTGAAGACCCTTTGACAGCATTCATGTGATTTATGTGAGTTGTTGATGTTGTCTGGTCTTTTTTTATGACCTCCAGCTTCGTTGTATTTTTCTCCTTCTTTTGTGTCCGACCACATTTATCCCTATGCAAAAGAGATGCAAGGTGACTGCAGAGCATACTAAGAAATACTAGACTGTTGACTGCCAGAGCTGAAGATTAGCGTTTGGTTATGAAGTTATAGTGTAATGTGGCACCACAAACTTAAAATGAAGTTCTGTAATAACTGTAATTTCTGAAGAAGCATTAGGCTACACATTATAGTTTAGCTAAGGAAACAAGTCTCAACTTCAAGACTATTTTATCAACCTTAAATTCCATTCATGCTGAGCTTATTGGAGCCTCTCATTTTGCTTACCTGCAGTAACAAAGAAGAACAGCAAAAAATCCAATGATAATGACAACAGTACCTCCCAGTATGGCTGTAAGGAACACTGTATGATAGGCTGTTATGTCCTTCGAAACCGCACTAATAATGGATTCTAGGTTGTCAAACAAAACCAGACAAGAATTAGTTCTCAAAACCAAATAATTCTGCTTGATATGCAGAGCTGTAGCTAATAAATAAAACTTTACTTTTTCAGTGATTATGTGTCCCCATGGCACTATGTTCATCCTTCCCTTTTCATCTTGCTATTTCAGCAAATTAGAAAATACACAAACAGTGGTTACAATTTAATGGATCTTCAAAGGTTCATCTCAAGTACTATAGCCCTACCATGACATCTACTCAGTTCCACTCAAATTCTACTTTTATTAGTTGTCCAAACTGACTTAGAAACACAGTCTACATTTTCTATTTAGTGCTTCTGTCAGAAAGTGCTGTTTTTAAGTTTAGACATCATATTTCTCTGATAAGAATCCCTTCTCATGAATTTGCAAAACATGCAACATGTCTACATAGAACAGAAGCACCGGGACCATTTCACCCAAGACCAATTTTCTTGTTGTATTTCCTCCTGTCATACATGATCCTCAACAGCACGGATACAGTCCTGCTGATTCTTAGATCTCGATAGTCACAGTTCCCTTTCAGGTTTCTTCCAAAAGATGGTGATACTATAAACAGGTAAGTTCAAATACAGTCTGGACATTTCCCCTATAGCATTTGAAGTTCTAGGAAATGGTAATAAGCACAAAGGCAAACTATCAGGATTCAAACAAAATTACCCAACTGTTAAAACTGCATGTCATTTTCCCCTTTCTGTTGTTAAATAAAGCAATCAAACTGAGAACCTTATGATACACTGGTACTTGGGTTACTCAGTAATTTCTTTGCCAGTTGTTGCAATACCTCTTGTTCCTGGCAGTGGAGCTGCTATCCAGTAGCCTAAGTGTTGAGCAGTGTATGTCCATACTAATTGACCATCTGCTTCCTTTACCGTTCCCAGCCCACGGCTTACCCAAGCACCTGAAAAAAAAATAAAAGGACAAAATATTACACGTGCCCTGCAGGATTCTTCTATACCTCAAACCATTAGCAATTAAGTTATTACCAAAAATACACAATGTCACAAGAAAAACAAATTTCTGACCTATATACTATTATGTTGCTTTAGCTAAACACGCAAACTTTCTCTCTTGACAATTTCATTACAAATATCCCTGTGTGGACATTTACTTTGAAATTAAGCATCAACATTGCTTACTGGAATTAATGTAATGTAATTCATTTTTTTTATTAACAAATGTCTTTCACAGATATGCATACAAATACTTTGAAGAATCTTATATGAGCTTAAGTATGTATGAAGGCCAAGACTAAAAAAAAAAAAATGTCAAGGAGCAGGTAATTTAAGCATACGAATATAAATTTAACATTAGCTAGCAGCAATCAGTGGGAAAACATCTTAATTTAATAAACTACAATAGGATAAACACTGTTTGTCTTCAATGTTTCTCTCCTTTCTGCCCCAAGGCAGTAACAGTTCAGTTAGTCCATGGAAAGTCTATTGTTAGGTCACAGATTTCACACCATCTGTTCGGCAATGCAAAGGACAGGTATTATGGTATGCCAGCTTCTACAATTAATAAAGCATGCAGTAGAAGAGACAGAATTGTACGTAACAAACGAACACATTTATTGTGGGCCATCTGTGAAATTCTAAGGACAGAAAACAACCTCATATAAACAACCTTACACTGCAAATACTGAGGAAAGAGAATCACCAACTTTTTAAAAACAACAATAACCAAACCATGCAAAAAGTATAATTCATATAAGCCCTATAATTTCAGTTTTCCTTCAGGACCCTTATTTCAGCAACTATCTACCAGACAAGAGGTAAAGATGAGAACGGACACATGCCACATCTGCACGCATGCAGAGACACACACAAAACATCATTTGGCAGCAAAACTTGAAGGCTTCTCCTGGTACTTGTGATGGCTGGCAGAGGGGAACAGCAGCAGCAGCCACCTAGAGCCCCGAAAGAGGCGATTTATCAGTTACCTGGAAACCCTCTTGTCCAGGCTCAGAAGCAAGACCAGCTGGAAGAGTCTTCCATCCCTAACTCTTACATGGAGTCAACAACAGGTCCTCAATTTATGTCCTGTCAACTCTAAGGCAAATGTTACTATACTGTAAAACTATTGTTTTACAAGTATAGCAGGTGGGCTACTTACAGGCAGATAAAACCCAACACCAAACACCACATAAAAAAGGCAAGGGAATTTCTAGGTCTCCAGAAGTTCTATCTGGACTAAATAAATCTATAAGGAACTATATAATCTTTGCTGTCTTCTTCAGTAAATGATATCTACCCCCCTCAATACAGTCCATAGAAAGCAGTACACATTAAGAAAAACATTAAAATGTGATTTGTGAGTAAGCACATCTTCTCTATGATTGACTGCCATTCAAACAGAAGGATATTGTTCTCAATTTAACGTTGCAATGCAAGAGTGCTTGCTGTTTTTTGCGATTCTATTAAAATCCACAAAGTACTTCTGCTACTAATGAGGCAAAATATTTAGTAAGAAGGAAGCCACATCCAATATACATCAACAAATTCTGCATTTACAGCAGCCATAACATAATTACAAAAGCTCATTTTCCAGGAACAGCCTCAGTCCTTTGGGTAACCCCTGGGAACACTGTACAAGCAGACATGTGAAAGCAGATTCTATCTTTTTTCTGGTGCATATGGATCAGCCTGCACATCAAACACAGACCTGTTCCCTCACCACTACCAATACTGACACAGAAGCTCTGATTACCATTATGACATACTACCCATGGACTTCAGAGTTTATATAAGTGTCTGTCAACATCTTGCTGGGGGCATTCCACATGCAACATTCTGGATGCCGGAGCCTCATTATCCAGTGCAGCAGTAGCTCTCCAGTCAGCTCAAATGGGGGCCTGCTGCTACCTATGGACACTCCTGAATGCTTGCTGGAGGAGATGAGGTGCTCAGCTGACCCCAGTCACCAGAAACTCAGCTAAGGAATGCCTTGCTATTACTCAGTTACCTTAGAAAAAAAGTTGTTTTGCACATGCCAGATCAAAAGTAAAAATAAAATACTTCAGAATAAGCATCCAGAACAGTCAGTATGGTTGCAGATTTTTACTGTAGAGATGAGGAAGTGGAAGAAAAATGTGGAAGTTAGAGTTATGCCCAAGAAGTCTCCCTCCTTGTCCCCTCCTCAGCAAGCAGCTGTGAAGGCTCCATGTGAACACACCACTTCAGCAAGCACCCATCACAATCAATCTACCTTTATAGAACCTCTATCGGAGTACACCCCATCTGAGAGGGGAAAAAAAAATCAGCCTTTTTAATTGTTTTTACTGGGTCAGCATGCGACACTCCTGCTCTTGCTCTCCCTCCAAGGCAAACATGCCTAAGTAAGCATGTTCAGTAGGTGCCTTGACACCCACATACACACCTTACACTGGTTTATACTCTAACTGGACCCCGTGCCTAGCTGCTTTACCTCTGTCAGCCTTTTGTTCTAGCAACATTGTTGACCTAGTTTTCTGTTTAGTGAGTTAAAACAGCCCAGCATAGGTACAGATGAGCACAGGAGCTGGCAAAAGTGGCTGTGGCAACAAGAAATTAAAACCCGTTCTGGTATTTTACGTTATGAGACTAAACCCCTTTCTATGATGAAGAATGCCATCTCTTATCACCAGTTACCCCTCTGAAGTCTTCTAAGTGTACAGACAGACTTAATCTATGCCAAAACTTATTCTAATCACTCTTTTCCCAACAGGCAAGATAGCAAATTGTTTATTAGCATGTTCTTAATTCAAATTAATGTTCTTTGGTTGTTCTTCTTTAAGATGTTTAGTTTCTCGAACATGTCAACAACGCTTGGTTAGTGTTGGTCCCCTGCTGTACTTCTAACAGCTGAATAACAGCTTTTTGCCTTAATAAGGTGTAAGACACCGCTTTGTTCACTTGCATATTTCAAGACGAAGTGTGATGGAAAGTATAAGGTACAACGTAAGACAATCAGTACACTCATGCACACATATCTAATACAGGACATCTAAATGGGATAAGTTTATGTAGCTCATTACTCACTCTTAACTAAAATTAGACATGAAGGGATGACAAAAGGTTCAAAATGTCTAATCCTCAGCCTCCTCTTCCCATGCATACTGTAAGAACTCTGTTGCTCCCTTTGATAACTTGTATTTTCCCTTCATTTCACCTTCTGAATTGCTTTTGTAACTGAAGTAATATCTATTCCAGTTTTAGTGTCAAAGGATTTTTAGAGCTATACTCTAGGAAACAAAGCATCCAAATCTTCATTTTTGATTTGTTTTCTTTTAAGAAAGCATTCACAAAATTACCAGGCCTAAAATTTAACATCACCTAACATGTATGCTCCCTGAATCCTTAGCCTCCCATGAAAATAAAAATCTGTTACATTAAAAATTTGTTCAAGAGGAATGCTAATGATTTTTACCAAAGTTTTTTGAACTAAAGAAAGGAGGGAAATTCCTTTGAAAAAATCAAGGTAGTCAATCAAAAAAAAAAAAAAAAATACAGAACCCCTAATAAAATTTGTGACTTTTTATCACCACCTCCTATATTAGGGCCATCACTATTCCATGACATAGAGTGTCATGTGCCCAAAACTATGTACATGTGCTGAACGGTAGAAAAACAAATAACTTAGCCCACTTACCAGTTTTCATATCGAATGTCCATGCAGGTATAGCATCTCCTGGTTTTACAGTACTTGTGGGAAGAGGAAGCGTAATTTGAATGGGACCACTTACTTTCAGTTCTTTTCCAGTCAAAAGAATGTTTACGCATATTGCAGCAAGAGGAGCTAATTCCATGCTTTTGAAACCTGAATGTGAGAAATACCTTGTCTGTAATTCTCCATTCACAGTGTATTTAAAAAAAAAAAAAAAAATTTAGAATTAAGAATCTATCCTCATTATAACAAAAGACAAGCCCATATTCACATCCAGCTACACAGTCAGCTCTCACCAACTTGGTCAAATAAAACTTCTCATCTCTTCTGGACTTTTAAAATCTTGTGATTAAAATAAACCCCTGTCATTCCTATACCAAATCTGTAAAAGAAAAACAGACTTCTGACATATAGGTTCAATGGTAGCTGTAGAACCAATGAGTAGGCAAAACTTGTCTTGCGGGTAAGGGAAGAAGGGTTTTTCCCCTCAGATAATTTGATTACAAAAGAGCTAACCTATGTGAAATATAGGTAAGATTTTTTTTGTGTAATCGCAATATATGTAACATTGAATCAAAGCAAAGACACATATGACTGCTGCATTTCTCCTTAGCTGGAACAGTCCTCTTAAACTTTCTTGTAAGGATTAACTTTCTAATTTGGCAGTTATAATTAACCGAATAGTTAATCATGAGGCCTGTCAAGGCACTCAGTGGAAATGCTGCATATACAAAGCTTTACCATGCAGCCTGAAAGTTTGTTTCCTTTGCCTTCCCTAAACTAATTTGCAAATACTTCAGAATGTGCAATGACAGGATGGTGAAAGCAGCTGAAACAGAATTAGTAAGTACCAGAATAATGTTACATCTATGCAAGCTGTTAGAAGCTGGTTGTGAGAAAACTTCTGGTGTATCAGATATCAATTATCTTCCACCTGCCCTAAAAGGAAGCCTATTCCTTTAGGAGTATATGAATAATTTAAAACACAGCCAGACAGATTGAAAGAAAAAGTCAAATGGGAGAAACACCACTTATTCTCCTATGCTTTACATTTAAAAGGGTGAAATATAGATAAGAAAGGCTTTAAAATATGTAAGTCAAGTTAGCAATACATATGATGATTTTAATTCAATTAAAATGAAAGAAGAGAGCATGACAAGTTCAAATAAGCCATGTAGTGGCCTCCTCGTGTACTGAAATGAATTCAAGACCCTCATGGCTTCAGGCCCACTGGGAATAGAAAGAAAAGAACAAAAGAAAGATGGAATTGCACACAGTACAATCTACCAGAGATTATTATATTTATGCAAATAAAAAAAAAATCTGAGAGAATAACAAATACGAAAAGGTCCAACTGCATATGAGCAGAGTTATAATGACTCATGAAACCATTTACTGCTTTCTCCAGTGAAACAGAGGTAGAGAAAGCATTATTACAATTGTGTTCTGTATACATAGTGATGACTACTTGGTCTCATACAGGCCTACACAGATGAACTGTCTGCAAGCCAAACTAGAGCTTCCATACAATTTTTACACTAGCTCTAAAGCTCTTGGAGCCACCCATTCTACAGAAAATGCACAAAACCCCAGAGCTGAAGTTTCACTGATTTCTTTAGGTTCACCTAGTTTACACTCTGGCTGTAACCCTACTTTTAAGCTGTTTACTAAACTAGTTCCACAGTCTCATGAAATCCTGAACATACATACGTGTGTGTGTGTGTGTACATATAATAAGCAGACTCTTAAGGAATATTTCAGCACAATAAGATATGTTATATCCTCATACTACATGGAATAAGATAAAGAGTAGCATAAGTTACTTACCTGGTGTGTTTAGAAGCTTACTGCTATACAACAAAGCTTTGTGATTTAATGCAATGGAAGCAGGTTCAGGCCCTTTTAATTTAAGCATATGCTTTTGTGAAACTGTGCAGTCACATGCATTATGATTTGAAGATTTCCTCTTTTAAAAATACTCCTAAACAACATACTTACATACCCGATTTATTTAGAAGAATTCCTGTTGTATAGAGAAAGCTGTCCACTTTCAAAAACTGCTCTGGCACTGTCAGATAGGCTGTAACATTTGTAATATGGTGATTTGTTGGAAGCTTAATTAAAAATTTTGGAAACTGAACACTTGGTTGTGATTTGGCATCTGTAAAAGAATAGTATTTTGTCTTAGCAATGGTAAAACGCACAAACTGTTTTTATTACTGTTCAGAAATCCATTCAGCATAACAACCTGTTTCCACCCATATTCTCTCCAGTTCTTTTATTTCCAGTCTAGCACTTGTCACAGCCGCACATACAGCTACACAATTAACTGAAAATCTGGCTTTGAGTAGATAGGTATTATATGAGAATATGAACATGGTTAACTTTTACTTTTTTTTTGGTATGTGTACAGATGGTTATCACAAAGTGTTAAGATTATGGCCTGTATGCAATGAACTTACCAGACAGTTTTCCAGTAATTAAGACAGTATCTTCAAACAGCCATATATTAGCTTGACTTTGTGGAAACAGTGAAAGCGTCACAGACGAGTATACTGTGGAAAGTGATAATATCTGTTACACTGTGCAACTGAAAACAGTCTTGTAAGACCTCCAATTCTGAAGAAATAGTGAAAAGAGCAGTTAGAAAAAGAGAGTATATGAAGACCGGATAAGTAAATTACTCCTGTTGTCCAGAGCAGGAATTTTAGTGGTTAGGCAGGAAGACCTCTGTTGCATGTTTGCTGCTGTGTTATGCCTTCTATGGACAAACAAGTGACTAGAATTCTTAAGAGTTAGTATCTTAAAAAAAAAAAAAAAAAAAAAAAAAAAAATCACTTTTTAAAAGCATGCAATAGTTAAACAAGAAAACTCATGAGAAAACACTGCTGAAAACTGTAACAACAGGTTATACCTGTTACATCGGACTCAAAGCACTGGCATTCCAGGAATCATTAGAGACCTGATTTTTGTCAAAACACATTACCAGCCCTTTGCTAAGTCTAGGTAAACAATTTCTCAGAATACACTCAAGGAATTGCAATATAATGTACTTAAGAGTTACAAAGGGTTATTGTCTGTTTTACAATAACATGAATTTTGACAAGTCTAACAGATCATTCACCCTTGCATCTGCGTTGTCAGGCACCACCTCCCTTGACCGGCTTCATTCAGTCATTTTCAGTTGACAGTAACTACCCAGACTGCTGAGGAAGAAAGCAATTTAATTACTAACAGATACTGTTTAATAATAGGACTGTTAAGACGCTTACATACTTGGCATTCTCCCAGTCTTCCAAGGCAAAGGTGTTAACATGTAGCCATCCTTGTACGATACAATAGTTAAACTTAATCCTAATTTGTAAGGAACTTTTATTAATACTGCTCCATTGCTTCCAGTAAGAGTGGAATTTGTCTTCGTGTAGTTAACAAACACTTCTACAACCGCTTGTCGTAGGTACTGATGACTGGTGATGTCATTTACTTGAACTTTTAGGGTAAAAACAGATCCTATTAATAGAAAGAAAAAACAGGAGGTCATACTACGTCGCAATGAAGAACCATAAAAATTTTTAAAGAAATCCTAGGGTTTACACCTTAGCTACTCATCCACTGTACAGTGAATCTCCCCCTCAACAAAAGGTAGGCTCGGGCGAAAGGGAGGGGTAATCATACAGTTATATACCACAGAGAAGGGGGAAGTAAAACACCTTGAGATGAGGCACAAGGATGGCAAAAAGTGTTTCCCTTTTGTAGCAGTTCATGAGCAATGTTTATCAACAAATATAATGCCTAACCAGTTAAAACAAACAAACAAACAAAAAACTAAACCACAAACAAAACCAAAATAACTAACCAATTCTTTCCCTTTTTCTTTAAGCTTGAACAATGCGCCTGTGACAATGTGAGACGCAGTGTGCCTTATGAGTGCTCTGTAGTATCACACTGCTAATACAGATGGTCTTCTTATCCAATACCCCTGGCTTGGGTCACATATCTTAAGATGCACCTTGAGTTTCTAAAAACACAGAATCTAATGCCTACAGACTGTAGGATAACACATTTATTTTTATACATGTACAATAAATGCATCCAGACACTTGACTGTTTTAATCTATCTATCATCTCCCACCAGATTTACACTTCTGGTCTAGTTTTCACCTTTCTGTATTACAACTTCTAAATAGCACTTGTCTACCGCTAACTAAAGGATCTGACATTCCTTCACAATAGCTAGTGTCTTGCAGAGATCGTAATTACAGTGACTGAGCAGTATACTGAAAACAGTAAGTCCGCTTGAACAACAGTCTCAAGATGCTCTGAATTACATTCCATTTATCTCCCACCTTGATTGTACATAAACTATTAGGGAATCTTTTCATAGACAGCAAGTACATGACAATGAACAGAATTCCATGTTATTGCCAGTGTGAAATTAAGTTATCATCATAAATTAAATTATCTATGGACCACTGTTAAAAATATTCCAAATAACGTCAATTTTCCATTATTTTGGTTATAGACATACTACTATTCAACATCACTGCACTACTTTATGTGCAAATATTTTCAAATACATTAATTGTGAATATTTATTTCTATTTAGGTCAAATGTCAGACTAAGTTTGTTTGAAATTCACCTACATAAAATTGCAGTTCAGTTTCACTGTTATCTCTTCTATAATTGAGATTGACATTGCACCAAGGGATTACTACCATTGACCTTGATTTAAATGTAAAGGCCTTGAGAAGCTGAGTGTAATCCATCAAAAGAAACCCCCAGTACATAGTGAAGACATCCAAGTTAAGCCTCTCTGAAATAAGTATTTTTTTTAGATCTACTGTATGCATGGAGCATACCATATATTCAAGCAAAAAATGACCTGCACAAAAGAAAAACTACATTGGCCTCAACTTACTACTATTTATCACATACACAGCAAAAACTTACCAGCTGTGCCAGCTTGATTCTCTACATCATTACAGAAAAATCTAAATCTCCTTGTGCAAATTAATCTATACTTTCTAAAAAAGATTAGTGGTCCTACTGATACTCAAATATATTTGACTCAAACAAAAAATGCACAATAATTTTAGACCAATGTCATCTTTTTTTCCTTATGCATGATATTTCAAGAACAAAAATGCTTTTAAATTGCCGTTGCTAGACGATTTTTAAACCACATAATGATTTAAAAAATATTTATGCCATGTAAGCAAATTATGGCTACTAAACACATCTTCCAGGCACTGAACCAGTTACACATATAGTAGCATGATTCCAGTGGTTTCCAAACCTTGGAAGATAGGTCATTTGTCCTTGGCCAATGGCTATTTAAAAAGCTACTAAAAAGGAAAAAACAGACTGTGTACAATATTCTGATCCTGTAATGGCTTAGAAGCCAGGAATCTCTCATAAAATGGTATTTCAGAAATAAGAAATTCAGTAGTACAAAATTTGAGTTCATGCCAGTAGGAACCAATACCAGAAATGCCTGGTATAAACTAGTATTTTAACATCTAAAATCAAGTCAGAAGAAAAAGAACCTAGCATTAACAGCTGAAATAAGTCATTAAAAAATGAAAACCAATAATAGAAACACACTTTCTTTCAATCATTTCACACTTTTAATGTGTATTTTTCTATTTCCTGATAACAAAGCCTAATGAAAAACACAGGGGTGGGGGAACTGCTACATTCCTCCTCCAGCTGTTAGTAAATTCAAAGGTTATTTTCTGCAAAAAAAATTCTCCTTCTCATCTTCTTCAGTTACAGCCATATTAAAATCCACTTTATTAGAAGCTTTCTATTAGAAGCTTTTTGTTGAAAAAAAAAAAAAACAAAACAACTGCAAAAATGTAGGAAGCTATGTTATTTTCACTCTTTCTCATAGTGAACTGACAAATACCATCAGCTGCTTTTAGCCACATCCAACTTTGATTATTTCCTTCTCCTATGGGTTCAGAAATTGCCACAGCATTTCTCAAAACTGATACTCTGCCTGAAATGGTGTTGGGAAGATGCAGAAGTGAGGCTGTAAATGCAGACTCTAATCATGGGGGGTGGGGGGTGGGGGGTGGGGGTTATGGAGACAAAGGTCTCCCATGTGAAAACAGTCTTATACAATGCAAGCTCTGAAAGTAATTACCTGCGTATTACTGTCATATGTAAGTAGCAGTTACTCAAGTGAAAAGTGCTCACTTCATACCCATTAATATTAAGACAAAGATTAAAGAAGATTGGATCCCTAGCTCTCCTTGGTTCTGGACTTAGCTTTTGTGCTAACACAAGAGCCTTCTGACAAGAGAAAGTATGCCAATGGGCTGGGAGTTGTTCCCTCCTTGCAAGTTATATACAAGAGAAAATCATTTAGATTTTCTAATATCAACCAGAATATACTGTGCCTACAAGCCACGTGAAATCTGTGTGCAATGATTTTGGAAAGACATTTGGAAAAAAAAAAAAAAAAAAAAAGAAAAAACCATATCTTTCCATTCCTCGACAGTAACAGTGCAGAAGACATGAGGACACAAGATTATGCCTCTGAATCCAAACGCTACTGAAATGACAATATGTAAAAAATCCCAGTTAAAAAAGCCAGAACCCAACAGTAACAACAATCCCCTCCCCCAGCCACGTTTCACAATTGTTTTTGTATAAAAGGGAGCGTAGCAGAGCATCCTACAGCAGGCCAGCTGTAACAGCCTTATTAAAAGCAAAACAATCATCAGGTCCTAAGAGCTCAGACTGCCTGCTGCCTGTATGACCGAGCTGTATCTTTCCAAGTTTGACATCCCTTGACCAGCTCCCTCCTCAAATCAATGCCCTCACACGCCTTGCATGCATTAACTGTGCAAATTTATCAGACATAATTAACAGCACTGAGTTATTAACAATGTCATATTAACACTCATGACATCTAACTTGCAAAGAAAGTCCTGCTTTTTTTTTTTTCCCCTTCTTTTTATAAAGATCTTAATGCACAAGTTCTTAAGGACCCTTTTAAGTCTCAAATATGATGGAGACTGTGGTGGGGTTTTTTAACCACAATAAAATGTACTGAAAAGCATTTCAGATGCAAAAATGAACTCTTGGTTAACTGCTTAACAAAACCAAAGCTAATAAATTAAAAAATATATGAAACTTCAGCTTCTTTCTGGTCAGTAACACTTGCCAAATGCAAGTGGGTCAGCTCTGTATTAAACATATTTGACAGAACTCTTACAAATAGAAAGAAGAACTCAGTCTTAGCTAATTTGATTTGTGCTGCTTCAGACAAGGGGAAATTTGTCTCTTGGCAAGTCCACTGAAAATGCCAGCTTCTATGGCACTTAAACTCTTGCTGATAAATGTTCATACAAATGCAGCAGTTTAGACAAAGGGAAACAAGGCCTTCTACCACATTTAGCTACTTCAGAAATATTGCAGCCAGTAAAATACCTCATTTCTTCCAGCAACAATGTCTAATGCCTAGAATTTGGCTTCACATCACTGCCCTGACTCAGAAATCGTATCACAGAATTAAGCCAAACAACTGCTTGGAATTGCAAGCTGGGTACAAAACTTTACATTACACTGAAAAAAAAAAAAAAAAAAAAAAAATCTCTTTGTAATACCGCTATGCAATTTGCTCATAATTCTTCACCTGCAGATAAGTGGGTCATCTGGTTACCATATTTATCTGAGATTTACTTAACATGGTCAAGGCCAGAGACCTTACAGGCACCACTATATTCCAAACTACACAGATCATTAACACTGAGATACAGCAGTGGGGCACTGCCCAGGGAGTGTTCCTACACATTCTGCAACACAGGCATAAGTCCCCTTTCCTATTTATCACCAAGGTCCTATAGCAAAAGAGGTTCTATACCTTGAAGGAGGCAGTTACTCAAACACACAACTACCCAATTAAACAATTATGTTACGGAGTGGAAGTGACAATAACTACAATTAATTACTTAATTCCTTCCTTCAGAGGCAACTTTTCTCATCCTAGCCTAGCGATGTTTAAACCCACGCCAGAAAAGGCACACGCTTACCTGTGTGTTATGGGAACTGCCTAGGCTGTATTACCATGCTCCCAACTAACCAGACAGATAAAACGTGCGCTGTGCAATTTGCTTGGTCTTAGATGACTGGACAATCATTTTTCCATCTTTGCCATTTATAGAAGACCATATTTTTTGGCTTAATGTAATTAGGGATATGAAAGGTGCACTGATCTGTAAAGAAGAAATCACACGTTCCAAGAGCATCGGGTTTTACTACACATGCAGTATTGCAATAGGTTTCACCACTGGGGGGAAAAAAAATTAAATCAATGAAATATAGAATTTACACAGTCAACATACATCTGGCTTTAGTAAAAAAAAGGTCATATAGAAGCAATCCTCCTGCCCACACCCCCCAATCATTACTTCTTAAAATTTCCTTAAAAGTACACTAATGACAATGCCAAACTACAAAAGTGTATCAATAAGAAGTAAAAGCCTATTATACATTTAGA